CCATCCATTTTCCAAACCGCTAGTCCAATATAGCTACAGCATAATAACACACAGGTATAAATTCCTTTTTAATTGATTATAAAAAAATTAATCAAGATTTATACATGATAGTTTCCTTGGCAGAGTTCAAGATCAATCTTTTTCATTACTAGGCCTACTGAGGCTGCTTCAAATGATTATTAAACAGCACGCACAAAATATGCAAAAGTGCACTCTGGCGCTCTCAGTGTCCGAATTTACTCACTCGTTTAATTAATAATAATAATAATTCATCACATTTATAGCGCTTTTCTCAGCACTCAAAGTGCTTTACATAGAAGGGGGGAAATCTCCTCAACCACCACCAATGTGCAGCATCCCCCTGGATGATGCGACGGCAGCCATATTGCACCAGAACGGCTTATTGGTGGAGAGGCGATGGAGTGATGAAGTCAATCAGTCTATTTGGGGATGATTAGGAGGCCATGATGATGGACAGAGGCCAATAGGCAAATTTGGCCAGGATGACGGGGTTACACCCCTACTCTTTCAAAGGACTTTTTAATGACCACAATGAGTCAGGACCTCGGTTTAACGACTCATCATGACTCCTCCTACTGGATTATATTAGTGGAGTAAGGTAGGGAAGAGTGAATGACAGCGTAAGTGAGTTCGATTTGAAACAGTTGATCGGTTTGTGACATCAAAGTACAGTGAAACCGTCTGGTCTCTAATCGCTCTTGCGAGACTACACCGATAGGTCTGCGCAACACCGCTTCAAGTCGAACACACCGACCTAACCTATTGCTTTGCTCAAAGTTGCGTTGGATTTTCTCCGTAGCGTAAAGGGTAAGAGGCCCATCTATCACTGGTTTCCATGTTCGTAGAGTTAGTTTGTGGAGTAAATATATAGGCTATAAACTGTGTTTACACAGCTTTTTTTTTAAATGGCGGGTGCTGGTGTTTCGCGTGCGTTCGGCCAATCAGCGAACACTAACGTCACGGATAGTTCCTAAACTGCTGGTTTAGACCGACTCTGAAGTAGAAGCTAAATTAGTTCCTCCAAAAGGAGTTCCTAGAACTAAAATCGTTCCTAGTTCCTGCGGTGCGAACACTACAAAAAACGGGTACTTGCACCAATAGTTCTGGGAACTATGAAAAGGTTCCTCTGGTGGTTTGAAAGCCCCTATTGTAGCCAATCACAGACATATATGTTGAGCTCGTGAACCCAATGGTCAACCAGAGGTGTTTAAGACAAAATGCCCAAAATGCTAGTGGGGAAATGCTGGTATAGTCACATTTTTTACCGACTTGGAACCGAAGTCGGTACTTTTGACAACACTATGCTGGATAAGGATAAACTTGTCAGAGCTGTTGCTGCAAGTTTATATTGTAATGTTGTATTATTCAAATTTTTATTAAACATATATTATTGTTAAATATAACCGAGATTAATTCCAGTCGCATTCCATACAATGTTTTTGTCTGACTTTTTTCCTCATTGGGTGGGCGGCCTCCGACTGTTTTCACTGAATTGCTGAAAGGCCACCTCTGGATCACAGCAGAACATCACTGAGACATCTCTTCCTAATGTCAAGTCACCTTTATTTATATAGCGCTTTATACAATACAGGTTGTTTCAAAGCAGCTTTACAGTGATAACAGGGAAATTATGCATCTGGGCTGCTGTTCAGCTGAAGTCAGTTCAGTGTTGATTCAGTTCCGCTCTAAAGATCATCAATTATTAAATGACTTAATTTCATCTATAAAGCAGTTCTGCTTAATATCGTCATCGTCCAGTTCAGTTCAGTTCTCATACAACAGCGTCCGTAAAGTCGGATTAATAATATTGTTGAATATTAATTGATTCCTAATGTCATTATTTTGCGTTGTTTGTGGATTCCTTTGCGATTTGTTATTTCTAATTTCTTTATGTGACTCATTTTGAAAGGTTGTTCTGAGAATGTGACTAAAAGCAAAAGTAACAATTAGGAAGTGGAGTTATTCAGATGAATGGCATGGCTGTTTGTTGTGGCATTTTAAACGGCACTCATACACAAACGCGCGCACAATTAAACTGTGTTTAATGCGGTAACACCAGAGAAATGAAACTTTTTAATGTAGGGATGAGCCATGAAATCCTTACACAATATACAAAAACAGGATTTTAAATGGATCAAGTGAATAATAAATAGACTGTGATGTTGCGTCCCCAAATGGACTACATACATTGAAACTCAAGTTGTCCGGAGGAAATGCACTACAGAGTCGTGTCAGAAAACAGATAAACAGCCTTCTACACAGCCTAGCAAAATGTTTGTATTGTGTGGAGCGAGGGTGAATATCCCCGCCTCTGACAAACAGAAACAGGGGCCAAATATGGTTATAGAAATCGAGCTAATGCGAATTTCTCCGTTTTTCGCTCGTTGGTTTAAGAGCCGTCATGATTTGTCACATTCGGCAGTATTTAGTTAAGACTAGAGAGCAGTTCCTGAAGTCATTTCACAACAGGGTTTGGGAAGCTAGTTTGAAAGTGTAGCTTGCTTAAGTTACTCATAGCTTAAAAGTAGTCTTATACTAAATTAAATAAATAAATAAATGTATATACTCTACAAGCTACTAACAAACAGTATCTAACCACCCTGAAGCTACTAGACAATATCTTTTTAAATGTATGATTGCAATGATAGCTATGCATATTTTTCTGGCTCAAAAACAATGAAGGGATTTGAATGAATGAGATTAAAACGTTCATTTGACTGTTTTTGATGTGCATCATATTTGCTCCAGCCGCTATATGTTCCATGCGCACTTAAAATAAAACGATTTTCTCTCTAAATATGATTAATTGATTATATTTAAATCATTTTTGATCTTTACGCTAAAGCTAACTCATGATGCTTCTGGTTTATGACCTACTGCATCTTTTGCTTGTATAGTATGTATACCGGTGTACATAGTGTCTAGTGTAAATAATTTTTTGTTCATAAGCGTATGGTACCAGTTTTAATCATCTTTTGTTCATAACAGTATTTATACTAATTTGAACCATCTTTTGTTTGTAATCATATGTATACTAGTTTTTTGTAAACATGTACTACTAGTAGCCTATACTAGTTTAAATAATCTTTTGTTTGTATACTTATACTAGTTTGAATCATCTTTTGTTGGTATGTTTCATCTTTTACACGCATACACTAGTTTAAACGATATTCATTCATCTTTTCTTTGCAAACAGATGTATTTTAGTTTTAATCGTCTTTTTTTAAAAGGTTTGCTAGGTTTAATCTTTTTTTTCATAATGGTGTATACTAGTTTTAATCATCTTTTGTACGTAGCAGCATAGCTTCAAAAACTAGCATAGCGCAAACTAGCATACTAGTTTATAACCATATGTATACTAGTTTAAATGATATATTAATTTCACTAAACTTTTGTTTACAACTGTATACTATTAGTTTAAATCATTGTTTGTTTGTAGCCATATGTATAGTACACTGTAAAAAAATATTGTGACTTTAATGGTAAAATACTGTAAAGATGTGACCTGTTATTTATTTATTTAACAGTAAGTTTCCTTACTACAGTATGTACGGTGTATGTATGTCTCATCACCACTGGTTTTTAGTGGTTGTCAGTGTCAGCTGCCAGTGTTTTACCATAAATTGCACCTTTTTTTTTTTTTACAGTGTAGTTTTAATAAACACATGTATATGCAGACATAACATACAAACTGCAAACAAGTTATTGTACAATGTGTTGATGTTCAGTGATAATGGAGAACCTGAAATTGAACAAGAAACATGGATGTCGACAGTTTAAGACATATTAACATCCAGCAATTTGTAATAAATCTTAGTTGACAGAGAAGCTGATTGGTGTGTGGTTCGTGAATCTCCACAACCTCGACGCTGATTCTCGGAAACCGTCTTCTTGAGTATTAAATATATTATAGAAATGCTTTTGTGGAATTTTTTAGGAGTTTAGTAGCTTTAATGCATTTGCCTTGGCGAACAACATTGGAGAAGAGAAACAAGTCATCTGCTTTACGGTGTGTGTGTGTGGTGTTTAATACTTCAATAACTTCTTGTTCTCCTGGAATTAGAGCAGAAGTGTGCAAACATGTGGATGTGAATGAGTCAGTGGTGTTTTCTCCTCTCCTCTCTGTGTGAGGGTTGACTGCGATTCAGAGAGGAAGGCTTGTAGTATTACGGCACCGTTACTTTGGCAGAAGCCAGAGCGTGTGAAGCTATTTTAAGCCGTGATTTTTAGCCTGACTCACTCAAAATGACAGATTTTGTTTGAGAGAGAAAGAGCTAAATTCTCAATCTGGTGTGTCAGAACTGACGGGATACATGCTGGAAATTCCTGCAGCTCAAAGCGTCCGGATTCATTTGCAGCTCTCGCAACTTCCCGGAATCCGCTCTCATTTTTTTCCCAAGGAGATTTAGTGTGTGTGTGCATGTGTGTATGTACTGTAGGCGTAGGTCGAAGGTTTCAGATCACGGGTCGAAGCTCTAGTCTCTCTTAATTTCCAGATGAACATTCTTCGCTAATCCCAGTAGAACAAGAAAATCGTCCCCCTCTTGTTTCCCTCTCTCTGCTCAAAACACACACACTGGACGACATTCATGAAGTGTGTCATGCACTGGAAATGAATGTTTTATCATCATTTGTCAGACTATTTGAGTGGTATATTATTATGTTTTATTGACCTGTAAAGAAAATTGTTGGGTTTTGTTTCAGTATGAGAGTCCAAATCACGGTGTAAAATCTTACATTTACTTTTATTCATATAGCAGACATTTTTATGAGCAACTCACAAATGAGAATAATGTAAGCAGAAGTGATCAATTCAAGCTACTGCACAACATTGAAATATGCATTTAAAGTATAAAGACATTACACAGGCACAATATAAACAGTAAAGGAGATTTTGGAACTTGTAAATGTTTCTAAAGACGTGATGTAATTGTTATATGGTTATATAAAGAAGTTTTGTTGCTTTGTTTGTGTTTCAGGACTACAAAACGCCAAAGCTTACCGTACACTGTTCGGACATCAAAGAGATCCGACGCTGTAATCGCCTTGAGATGCCAGACAATATGAACACATTTGTCTTAAAGGTGAACGAAGACACACACTGGTTCATTTCATTGAAAAAAAATTATATATTGACAAGGGCGATTCATTTGGATGGTTTTAGGCCGTTTTAAGGTGATCAACTTTGGCTTGATCTTCATAGTGCACGTCCTGTTTTCAAAATGTTTTTAGTGAAAATTTTAGTAAATATTGCATGCAAAAAATGTTGAGTTAAATTGATTCAATTCATATATTATTATGGAATATATACAGTGGGGTCCAAAAGTTTTTACACCTTATTGAAATTTATAGGACTTTCATGTTTTTTAACCTTATTATTATGAATGAATATGAAATATTTCAGATGATGCAGTATTTCTAGGTGACTAATCAAATGTAAGTAAATGAGTGTCATTGATCAGGTGACTTTTTGTACAGACAGCCAGATTATCTTTCTTTGAAGCTCAGGATGCTTCTTTGAACAAAATCAAATCATGATGGAGAAACATGGTCATCATGTTTTACAATAAAAAAAAATACATTTGAAAATTGCAAAACAGAACCATTTTCACCATTGGTCTCAGATTTTTTTTGTAGATACAGTATATCTGATTTTAGAACGGGTTTATAAACGTGCACATACAGTATTTTCACAGTAATATACTGTATTATAGTATTTTCACAAACCAAAATGTTTGGCTTTTTGCGAATCCAAGTTCTATTTCGTTGTCTCAAATGAAAAAACATCTAGCACATAAAAGTTTATACCTGTTTTAATCTGTCTCAGGTTAATGCTACTTCTTGGGAGTCTCGTCGTTTCAGAGCTGGAAAGGAGAGCTTAGTCTTTGATTTAGATTTTTTTATTTTTGCTGAAGTCGTCATGATTAGTGGTCGACCAAAATGGGTTTTCCTTTGGTCTATGCTGATATCTAGAGAGCAAGGTGGCTGACAGCCGATGTAAAGCAGATGAGTAGTTGATGGCAGCGCTCTGTGGTGTGACGTGCTATTATCTATCTAAAACTATTCAAACAATCTTTACAATTACTATGCATGCAATTATTTATGGCCTCATGTTAATTGAGAGATACATGGAATAGTAGTTGTTATATATTTAAATAAAAGTAATTAAAATGGTGAAAAATTGTGAATTTATATTTATTTATTTATATATGTGACTAGCTTGTCACCATTTTCTACCAGTTATTAAATTATATTTATTTATTTATCTATTTATGTATTTATTTTTATTTGTTTATATATATGTGTGTGTGTGTGTGTGTATATATATATATATATATATATATAAAGCTGTCTTATATATATATATATATATATATATATAATATATTAAAGTAAATCAAACTATAAATAAATAGTAATTTAATAACTGTAGAAAATGGTGTGTCAAGCTAGTCACATAAATAAATGTATTAGAATTTATTACTTATTATTATTATTATTTTTGTTTTATTTTTTATTGTAGCAAATGAGTTATTTTTTCAAATCTCACTTCAAATTCAATTAAAAATATCGTAAAACTGGACATGCCATTATTCTTTGGCAAAGCTGTCTTGAAACTGACACAACTCAACTACGGTTCATTAACTGATGCTGACAATCACAAAATTATCAGCCAAGTTCATTTCTAAATCTTTTTTCTTCTTGTGTTCTCTCCGTTTTCTCTCTCTCTCTCTGCTCAGGTTACTGGCCATCCACGTAGTTTTATATTTGAGGCGGATAATGAGCAGCGGGTGAGCTCTTGGACCACAGAGCTCAGAGAATGCATCACCAGCGGGTGAGAGCAGTGCTTTCTGCATTTCACTAAACTTACTTCTGAAGATTCCAGACATCTGCAAAAGTTCCTGACATTCCCCTACTGAGAAAACCCACTCACTTCCTCTTACACACACACACGCACACACACACACACACACACACACACACACACACACCGACACACAGACACACACACACACACACACACACACACGCACAGACACACACACACACACACACACACACACACACACACACACACACACACACACACACACACACACACACACACACACACACACACACACAGACAGACACACAGACACACACAGACACACACAGACACACACAGACACACACACACGCACACACACACACAGACACACACACGCACGCACGCACGCTCACACATATTAGGTTTTCAGGTTTTATGGGGACATTCCATAGGCGTAATGATTTTAAAACCGTAAAAACTATATATTCTATTCCCTAAACCTACCAATAACAGAAAACCTTCTGCATTTTTTACACAAATCATCACTTAGTATGATTTATAAGCTGCTTTCCTCATGGGGACCAATAAAATACCCCACAAGGTCAAGGATTTTGCTATCTTTATGGGGACATTTTGTCCCTACAACATAGGGTTTACCAGGACTGCACACACACATGCGCACACACACAGGGTTACAAACAGCTCTATTTTAACAAGACTCAACTTTGTACCAAAGAAATCCACAGAGTTTAGTTTCTCATGCATTGTAGTAGTTTAAAAAAAAAATCTTAATATAGATATCAGACTGTTTGTTTACTTGCAGACGTGTCCGTATATACCATCTGTGTGTATGTCTGTCATAGAAGGTGTGTCTGTGTGTGTGTGTGTGCACGAATGTTTCATTTCCTTTTATTGGTGTGAGGGTACTGAGAACTCAAGCCTGTGTGAATATATCAATGTGAGTTTTAGGAAGAGAGAGAGAGTGAGGTCTTCCTGTTATTCTGATTACTAAGAATCTCAAGAACTCGACTCAGCACATCTCATGGCCTCCTTTCTCTCCATGCCCCCTGCTCTCTCGGTTTCTTTGCCTTGTTTTATTTTTCTTAGTTTTTTTTTTTTTTTTTTACCTTTACCCTTTTTTTTCTTTTTTTTTTTTGCTTGTCCAAGAATTACAAGACACATTTCCTGACTCGAACCAAAAGCTTTTGTGCTGCTCTCTCCCGCAACTTCCCCAAACGCCCCTCCCCGAGTCTTGCTTCTGCTCTCTTCCTCTGTTCTTTCCTTCATTTCGTCCCTGTAGGTTTCAAAGCGACGTCTGTTTTTCTGTCTAACACACATACACAGGGGCTGGACAATGAAACTGAAACACTGGCCAGTATAGTGTTGAAGGTTTCACGTATATATATTTGCGCGGCCTGGTGGCCAATCATCACTGATTATACATTCCACCAGTAAGAGTAGAGTGTGAGGATTAACATCAGAGCAATCCACCTTATTCCTGACGACCTTACTGCGGTTTGAATTATGGGTGGCACTTCCGGTTTGGGGAACTTCCATTCAAAAAGGCTGAAACGAATCATTTCAAATCGTAAGGTTGCCCTTCAAATAAAGCCGATCCGTCAGTTTGACTGGATGAGCTGTCGATTTTCCTTCATGATTTATATTCAGACATCATGAGAATAATGTTATACTTGGTGTTTTAACGTGACATGTTATAACAAGATTATCTATGGCAAGAGCTCTTTTCAGTCGCTGCTTTCTTTTCCTCATGATGATTTTTATTGTTTCCTTTGCAATCCGCTGTAAAAGTATGAAAAAAGTACAACATATACGGCACATTTGTGGTCTGTTCTCCCGAATTTAATTTACGATAATAATTCACTGGAATGCACGAAGAATCTCTCGTTATTCTCACGTTTCTTTCCAGGTTTGTTTTCACAGGTAAATGCAATTTATAATCAGTCAAAATGACGCAAATCACTTTGATATAGTGTCACGTAATGGTGAAGTTAATGAACATTTTTGATTAAGGCTTGTTATACAATATTGCCTACTACAGTGATATTTAACCAAAGACTCGCGCTTTTGGGGCTATTTTTGGTCTGTTGAAAGTAGGCTACCTTGTTGATTCTTTTAAACTTTTAAATTTCATTTTAATGTTCGATGGTTGAAGGGTGAGTCGATTAATGTCATCTCATTGTGACACTTTTTTAACGTATTGCGTTCATAGAGCGAGCCTTCAGTGATTGTTTACAGCTTAACGGAAGTTACACCCATAATTCGCGCAAAGCGTCATGGGGCGTAGGAATAAGGTGGATAGCACAGCTGTACATAAAATATTGCAGTTTTCACACAACATAATGGGAGATATACCAGAGTTCAGAAGAGGACAAAGTGTTGGTGCTCGTCTCGCTGGCTCATCTGTGACCAGGACAGCAAGTCTTTGTGGTGTATCGAGAGCTCTGGTATCGAGGGTAATGCTGGCATATCTCCACATAGGAGAACCGCATCCAACAGGAGTAACTGTCGACGCTTGAGGAAGCTGTCCTGTCTGAAAGGGATGTCCAGTTACTAACCCAGAGTGTATCCAAAAACCCACAGCTGCTCAACTCCACAGAGTCCATATTCATGGTCGGGATGCTATAGCCAAACCTTTGGTCACTCTTGCCAATGCCAAATGTCGGTTTCATTGATGCCAACAGTGTAAATCTTGGGCTTAAACATGTTTTGTTCTCTGATGGGTCCACGTTCACTGTCTTTCCCATTTCCGTGGGAGTTACGGTGTGGAGAATCCCCAAAGAGTCTGAACACCCGAACTGTTGATGCCCAGAGCGAAACACGACGGTGGATCAGTGATGTTTGAGCTGTAATATCATGACATTCCCGACTGTGCTTGATGGACTACCGAACCATTCTGAAGGACCATGTGCACCTAATGTTTTAAACATTGTACCCTGAAGGTGGTGCCGTGTATCAGCATGATAATGTACCAACACACACAGCAAGACTTGTGACAGAATGGTTTGATGAACATGAAAGTGAAGTTGAACATCTCCCAAGGCCTGCACAGTCACCAGATCTAAAGATTTATGAGCCACTTTGTCAGAAAACGTGACTGACCGCTGTTCTGGGAGAGGAATGGCTCAGAATCCCTCTGGCCACTGTGAAGGACTTGTATCGGTCATTCCCAAGACAAACTTGGCCACAAAAGGAAGCCCTATATATATATATATATATATATATACCATGTTAAATTCTTTAACATCTCTGTTTTGATTATTTGAAGAAATTTTACACAATTTAATTAAAAATGCAAATAACTTTCTATTTAAGCACATTTAATATGTGCGACAAAAGTGTAGTTTTAGGGCCTCTTATGGATCGCAAAAAAAAAAAAACATTTTATGTTACCAGGTGTGTTTGTTTTAAAAAGTTTCGCTTTTTTAGTCATCAAACAATGTGGACGTACCTTAGCATATGTGATGTGATGTTATTGACTGTGTGACATTGTGGGACCTCTTCATCATGCGATTAAAGAAGTTCATAGATGTTTATGAGAGTGTGTGTGTGTGATTCCAGGTCAGATAGTGTGGATGGAGAACCGTTTCCTGTTAGTGACTCGCTGAATGCAGTTCGCAGAGGGAGCACAGAGCCCAGTGGCCCGGGTGAGTCACGCACATACACACACAAACACACATACACACTCTCTCTTCCTGTCTTCTGTTTTTCTCTCTTACTTGTATTAATGCAAGTACTTTAAACAGCTTTGAAAGCATTTGTTATCAACTCGATCAAAACGGATCTTAATAACTGGTGTGAATGGGTCCAAAACTCTCAATTTTTGTATTCTTTATTGTTCATATGTTTTAGTTATACAGTTTAAACAGTGTCACAGTTACATTCGCTGAATAGATCTCCACTGCAACACGTTTTTCATTCATTTTTATAAACTAACATTTGAGATGAAACTATTTTGCATGATAATCGACTGCTTGCTTTAGGTAGAAAATCAGATGAGTCATATTCAGATGTCTGTAAACATACTGTCTCGTGTGCCTCCACAGGCTCTCTGGGATTTGGACTCACAGAGCACGCCTACAATAAAACGGATCACTTCCTGTCCTCTTACCCATGGTTCCATGGGCCCATATCACGTGTGCGGGCTGCCTACCTTGTACAGCATGCCGGGGTCAGCGGTCATGGGAACTTCCTGGTGAGACAGAGCGAGACACGGAGAGGAGACTATGTCCTCACGTTTAACTACCAGGGCAGAGCAAAGGTAAGGAACTCAACATCATCATTATCATGAATATTATTTTCATTAGGGATGTTCAGTATATCAGTGACCAAATTGGTATTGTTTAAATGTATTATTATTATTTTATATATTGTATTTAAGAATGTTTTTTGTTTATTTTAAAGGCATCCTGTTTAGGCGACTATTGGAAGCAAATAATATCAGGGCTTATTATTTCATATTGAGTCAGTATAATGTATATCTGTGCGTTTTAAAAGCATTAAACAATTATTAATCTTTTTTTCTTTTTTTTACTGTACATTATACTGTTTTGTGAAACACACACACACACACTCAAAAAAGCCAGAATTTGTTTTATTTAATTTATATTTTCAATTTAATTTATAAAACTGTATCCCACAATGCAGTGCTCAACTTATTCTTCCATCTCTGTTTTATTATTATTAGACATTTTACACACATTTTAAATAAAAATGCAATTTCTATTTAAGTGCATTTAATATTTTATTAATTCAAATAATTATATTTACTTAAATATAAATGCATTAAAGTAATGTAATATTTTATAATTAAAACAATTATATTCACTTAAATAGAAAACAGCATTTTAAAACTATTAAAATAACATTTTCTATTTTATCACTATTCACATCAATATTACTGTTGCAATTCTTTTTCTATGTTTATGTCAGTATTTATAATGCATTTTCCACTGTTTTTCAAAATAAATGTCTTTCTATTTAAGTGCATTTAATATTTTATTAATTCAAATAATGATATTTACTTAAATCTAAATGCATTAAAGTAATGTAATATTTTATTAATTAAAACAATTATATTCACTTAAATGTAAATACATAATTTTAATGTAAGCATTTAAAAAAATTATTAAAATAACATTTTCTATTTTATCAATATTACTGATGCAATTTTTTTTCTATGTTTATGTCAGTATTTATAATGCATTTTCCACTGTTTTTCTTCCTCTGCAGCATTTACGTCTATCTTTAACCGAATGGGGTCAGTGTCGTGTGCAGCACCTGCGTTTCCCATCAGTCTTGGACATGCTGAATCACTTCCGCAACTGTCCGATCCCACTGGAATGTGGCACCGCATGTGACGTTATGTTGGCCAATTATGTGCGGGTAAACCCCACTCACACAGGTGAGACTAGAGATATTTACACATGTAAATATATACAGTATAGCACAGCTTTTTAGCCGGTGTTACGAAACCCTGCTCCTAAGCTGTGCAGTGTGAAACCATGCAGTGTTAGAATGTTATTACTAGATGCTTAACAACCGACAACCAATCACATGCCTCATATTCTCGATTGATGTGAAGAAGAGACCGTTTCATTATCTTTATAGTCCATTAGTACAGTCTGCTAGAGGACAACAGATCGCAGTTGATCCGTGATCCGTACGGACGAGGCCCCACGGTTCGGCACGCATGTGAATCACGGATTAATTGTCAAGTTTAACCATCGTAGAGTGAAAGTTTATCATTTGCAGGTTTTTTTTTTCTTGACAATTTGCACATTCAAGAGATTTTAAACCATTCAAGCGCAAGAAGAGGTGACAGAGCACCGAATTGATTCCTCTTTCACGTCTCCTTGCGCTTGAACGGACACATACACATCAAATTGTTAAAATACCCGTCTCAGCAAGCATTTTGTTTACGCAGTCGGTTATGTCTTAAGTGAACGTAAACAGTTGAGAGAAATCAGATGTGTATCAGTTCATTGATCCGCTCATTATGTCTTAAAGTGACAGCAGCCTATATAAATCGGCTGCTGTCTGTCATTTAACGTTAATTAAACAACAAAACACAAAGATTAATCTATATTTAATTTATACAGTGACCTCTATAGTGTTATATTACAATTTACTGATTACATTTCTGTTCCTGAATACTACTGTTTTAACTTTATTTGTAACTGTATTATATTGTATATGTAATTGGTGTAAATGTTCTTATTTTATTACTGACTTTTATCTTTAATGTTTAATTATTATTATTTTTTGCTGTGGTATCGATGTACTTAAAGTGGTCTTTAAGTAATAAATGAAAAGCAAAGTTGCATTGCCCCCATTCCCCTTTTTTTTTTTTTGCTGATCCGAAAAAATGATCCAATCCGTGACAAAAAAACTGTACTATGATCCGAAGCGTGAGTTTAGTGATCCATTGCACCACTATAGTCTGCAGTGTATAATATAAAGACGTGCAATATTAGTGCTTTTATATAAACAGGTCGCACACGTCTCTCCTCCAATCAATACCAATGACACCGCAAATATGCAAATGAGGCGTTAACCCAGGGTTTAGGAATGTACAGTGTGAAAACCGAGGATTAATTGTTAACCCCGGGTTAAATTATGAGCATTGTGAAACATGGAGGAAGATAGTGCAGGATTAGTGCAATTGATAATGCATTAATGCTTAATGCAAGCAATATAACATAAGTGCCGCCACGTGGAGTTCTGGAGGGGGGGGGGGGGGGGAAGTCACTTAAGCATCATTTTGCACATACAATAAAGTGCAACAGATGTTTTCTTAGTAGACAACTTGATTTGAATCACTTCTGAGTCATTTTTATAGTTTGATGTAAACCATCTGATCGTAATTGTCATTGGCCAACTGGCAAGTAAACATGTTTGATTTATTCACCAAAGCCAATTTTTTCACATATTTGGTGCTTGGCAAGAATAAATTTTGGGCTTATGTGTAATGTAATATATTGTAATGTAATGTGTGTAAACCACATTAAATAGCATAATAAAAATGTTTAAATAATCTTTGGATAGTTTATGTGATCATACACTGTCTGTCACCTGCCCGTAAACGGGCAACCTAAATTTACTTCACTATATTACTATATTACTATTAAATCCTAATCTAGTCATGACAAACTATATATCGTTGGAAAGGTCTAAGACTCCTTAATAGATATTTTAGCCATGTTTTTTTCTTACAAATTAAGTATGAACAGTAATATATGAATTTATGACAAGAGTGAACCTCAAAAAATCAACTTCATTACAGGAGTTTCTGACCTTTGTCACAAAAAGTTGACGCACACACTTTTAATAATTGAAACTTTGGTTTTTAATGCTAAAAGTTCATAATAAAACATAATCTAGTATTTGTCAATAAAAAAAGATAAAATTATATTTTAAAAAGTAAAGTAAAAAGTCCTCTAAAAAGTATAATATATATATATATATATCATTTTTTATTATTATTATATCACATATTTTAGTAGTTATCATAAATTAGGTGTCATTTGAAAGCTTACGAACTCAGAATTAATCCTGTGAAAACCGTTTTGAAATTGGACGTTGCGTTACCATAGAAACGGTATTTTTTTATTAGGCCCCTCCCCTTTTGAGCATCATCTTTCATAATTTATTATCAAAATGTTCTAATCTTGACAAAACACATATTGTCAGAAAGGTCTGAGTCTCAAGGTTCCATATTTAGTGACAGAAGTGATATTTGGATAGAAATTTATTAATTTGTTATGGCAGAATGCATACAATTAAATTCAATGGAATGCAAAAGCACCCGGTGGGTATTTTTGGTATTACGCCTAAACAAAATCTCATGGGAACTTCAATGTTTGTGATATCAACTTCAAATTTGGAACACAACATGGTTAGATATATGGCTTTGACTTTCTGTCATTTTTAGGCTGAAACCTATATTTATTTATTTATTTATTTTAATAAAAGAAAAAAAATATATTTTATTATATTTTCATAACAATAAACTTAAACTTCAATAACTTTTAAATAATGTAATTCTATTAATTTATTCCACTTCAGCAATAATCTGCCAAGAGTCTTCTTTTAAAAGAGACCAACCGTAAGTCTTTAGTACACAGGCTTCATGAATTACAACCGTTTAAGTTTGAGTAGTGCATTTTCACATCTACGCTCAAAAAGGCGGGTGACAGCTAAAGGGTTAAATGTCAGTAACAAAGGCGATATTTATTGCAGTGTTAAAATATAATAGAAAATAGATTAAATGAAATATTGCATAGCAGTTATTGATCTGTAAATGTTCAGGCAGATGAAAACATGCATACAATTTCTTTTTTGTCTCTGTCTGTCGCACACTCAGAGCTCGGCAGGAGCGTTTCCCTCTTGTGCTTTGTGGTTTAGAAGGGTTTTAGTAGTTCTGAGAGACCTGACACAAGGAAACATGCACTCTCTCAAACACACACACACGCATCCATACACTTTTATGCATCACTAATCATCACGACTACAGACTAACCTGCCATCAAGTCTCTGTTTCCTGCTGTCCCATCCTCACAAGCTGTAGTAATGTGGTCAAGCACAAACACACACTTACACAAAGCCTAATAGCATTTTTTATCACACACATTTACTAACATGCTCTATTTTGTGCTCATAGTTCAATACACTTCAAGCACACACACTCTTACTGTTATACTTGCAGAGGGTGCAGATGTTGTAAATGTGAAGACGATGCCCTCTATGGGATACAGGGAGCATTGTATGGTTATTGAGGAAATATTATTAAATCCAAGAAATAAAATGCTGTCAAAACTAGTCAATCTATTTATGTGCATAACTGTAGTATACTCTACCATTCAAAAGTTTGAGATGGGTAAGATTTTTAACAAAGCCTCTTATGTTCACTAAGGCTACAATTTTTTTTTTTACTACTTTCTTACTGTATTTTACATCTTACATTAAATATTTCCTCGATAACCATACAATGCTCCCTGTATCCCATAGAGGGCATCGTCTTCACATTTACAACATCTGCACCCTACAAAGATTGACAGATTTGACATGCAAAGCTGTATTTTCAGCATCATTACTCCAATCTTCAGTGTCACAAGATCCTTCAGAAATCATTCTAATAATCTGATTTCATAACATTTATTAAAATGATGAAAACAATATTCAAAACAGTTGTGCTGTGCTGTGGAAACTGATAAACATTTGTTCAGGATTCTATAGAAAGTTCAAAAGTATATATTTGATTTGAAATAGAAATATTTAGTAAAATTATAAATGTCTTTACCGTCACTTGTGATCAATCTAATGCATCCTTGCTAAATAACAAAAGTCGTTGTTTTTTCCCAACAAAAGTAATATTTAAAAATGCGTTATTTAGAGATGTTCAGCTCTAGAAACTACTTGTGAATGTCATTTTTTGTTTCAATTTGTAAAAGTCAGAAAATTCATAGAAAGTAATTGGTCAAAAGGTGTGAACTGAATTTTACGAATAAAAATGTACTTCTGTAGTGTAGTGTTCGTCATCATAGGCAGATGGAGCGATTTGTGGTTCTACATGTATGTGTTCATCGAACCTTTATGAAAACTTCATCTAGCTTTTAAGACTAACTCAAATTAAACCGAAAACCAATCATTTTTTTGATAACTGTAATAACTGTTGCGCTGATGAAGTGTTTTGTCTGTTCCATCTCTCTAGGTCAGAGTTCGGCCGTGGGATCTCCGGTGTTGGTGCCCTTCTCTCGCTGGAGCTCAGAGCCGAGTCTGGCTCACTGTAGCCCGGATTCGTGCCCTCACATGGCCCAGTCGTGTTCGCCCCCCTCAGCGTTAGTCGAGCTCCCGCACCGCGCGCCCCCTTCCCTTCCAGATCGTCCCGTTCCCGTTCCCCTGCGCCGGAGCGAGTCAGTGGGCCGCAGAAACCTGCTCCGCCACCCCAACCCACTGCCGCCCCTCCTGCCCAACCGGGACTCTGACTACGAACTGGAGCCGCTGGACAGGGGGCGCAAGAGAGCCATCGACAACCAGTACATGTTCTTCTGACAGAGACGGGATGAAAAAGCGAACAGAAGCCGCCGCGGATGAAAAGTGCTCCAGAATTCCCGCGAGATCTAGTCGTGCACCAGACTCGGGGTAACCGTGCGATGCACATGTGTCTGAACGATACCGCCAGAGCCCTGGCACCTCACCATCACAGCTGTCTGCCTTGTTAATGTATTATACAGATGTTTCACTATCAAATCTGTGTGTATTGTAGAATAACTCAAGTAGGAAGTAGAAGCAGGCAGCGGCTCATGGGGATACAGCGCATTTGTTGAAGAACGTGGAATGGGAAAGTTTCACAATGGCTAGTCAGTAAGTTGAACACAACCCAAGGGTCTATTCAAACACGTCTGTGTCTACACTGGAAGTGGCCGACATTGCGACAACTTGAGGTCGTCTACACTGGAAGCGTTCACAGACCAGTCAGCTGCAAGCTTGAGACTGCACTCGAGCAAGTGGTAAAACGACAATAAAACCAGCTGAAAAGAATCGTTCTTTTTAAAAGAGATTGGTCATAAAATTGATTTTGCGTGTGATTAATATTATACTTAATTTTCCATATGTTAGTATTCTTATGGTTAAATTAATGATTACAATTAGTACATTAGACCAGAAACATCTCGAGCTGGCTTTGATATATAACGGTCAGAAGTTATTTAAACATGAACAGAATACAATTTATTGATTTGAAATAAAAAATCACATCATTTTCGATGTGGCTGGAGTAGTCGGATATAGAAGTGGAGAAACGGGGCATCCGCTTCGAGTGCTTGCAGTGTAGACAGCTCTGATCATTATAAGCGGAGCAACTTAGTTGTGTCGTGTTGCCACATGCCAAACATGATGTAGATACTGTGTTAAACATCTTAAAGATCCAAATAGTTTAGTCTGGCTGCACACACACACACTCTCTGATTGTTCAATTCATGTTCAGTTGTAGTAATACACAGGTTTCTATGTTTCGTGTATAAGAAGACCAAATAATATAGACCATAGAACCATATTTTGGTCGAATAGGCCTAGATGTAGTGCGTCTCTCATCACAGTGAGTCATGTCATCCTGGATTCTAGAGGTTTACGATTTAACCGACCAAAGAGTAAAATTAACCAAAACCAATCCAGCATTATAGGCAATACGTTTTGTTATGCCTAAATTGTCATATTTAATTTGTTTTAACCTGTGAATTCATTCTTTCTATCTGTTTTAACACATTTTAACCCTCGTGTGTTTCATGGCTTCATAAGCTGTGGAAATACTACTTCTAAACTAACTGCTAAAAAAAAATCTGACACCATAAATAGTTGATTTTAAGCTATTTGTCTGTCGTTTTTTTTTAGTAAATGCATTATGAAAAAAAACATTGCTCAACGTTTTCGGAGCCGTGTCTCCTTTGTCTCTTTAAATCGTTGTGAATGTCTTTCTTTGTGCTTAACACTACCATGATAGTCAAATCTGTATCAAGTGCAGATACCCAAATCACTTTATATCTCGTTCACACATAATTTGGAAAATCTCACATTTCACCCCTAAGTCAAAAGAAAAGATATATATATGTGTATGTATGTATGTATGTGTGTGTACCTGATTGTCCCTAGGTTGTGAGGACCAAATGATCCCACAAGGATAGTACTACCAGTAAATTTTTTGAACTAGTGAGACTTTTTTTTTTTGGTCCCCATGAGAAAAATCATACTAAGTGATGTTTTTTTTTCAATGTAAAAATGCAGAAAGTTTTTTTTTTTTTTTTTTTTTGTGGTATATAGGTTTAGGAGTATGGGATAGAGTATGCAGTTTGTACAGTATAAAATTATTATGTCGATGGAAAGTCCTCATAATTGTACACGTGCTTGTTTATATGATTTATGATGACAAAATTTTGTAGAACGACATTACACTGGTATAACAACGTAAATGTGGTTTATGAGGACATTTCCTGAGTCCTCGTAATTAAAATGGCTTAAAAAACGTGAAACAATGTTTTTTTTAAATGTAAAAATGCAAAGCTTTCTGTGATGGGTTTAGGGTTAGGGGATAGAATATACAGTTTGTACAGTATAAAAACCATTATGCCTATGGAATGTCCTCATATAATGACAGGTGCGTGTGTATGTGTGCGCGTGTGCGTAAAAATATATTTACTAATATATAATATTTGTACTTAATTTATTTTTAAAATGATATGTAATTATATTTTTCATAAAATGAAGAAAATTAGGCCTTCATTTTTAGGACCATAAATAATTCTCATAATACTTAATGATTATTTGCGTGTTTTACAATTACTGTATTACAGTACTTTTATACAATATTAAAAAAAAATCAATGTACAATTAAGACTTTTCTTCTGGTTGTGGGGTGAAATATGACTGACATATTACATACAGATTTTGTGAATTCATAACAGTTCACACGAATCTGATTGTCCATGATTGATGCAAAGCAAGAAACTTCTCTATACTCTCTCCATCTCTATACTCTCTCCTTCTCATCTGCTTTTCTGCAGAATTCGGTCTCTGCTATACGTTCTGTTCCTGCTACTCTTCATCGGCCGTTGTTTCTTCGCTTTCGCATGTGGTTTGGCAACCACATTCTACAATCTATAATTATATTTTTTAACATGATATGAATGAAAGCGTACCTGTACCTGTGTATCACTACCTCGCATTGCATTGTGGATTGTGTGTTTCAGGTAGACTGTTTTTTTTTTAAGATTGGACGGTGTCAGAGTAGCATTGTGTCGCTGACATGCATGTGTTCAATTCAGTCAGCAGAGTATTGTTTAAATGACTATGCTGCTTTGCAAAGGACCCAGAATGTCCTTTTGTAATTAGAAAACACTTGTTTTTATGCAAATAAGTTTCTAACATGAGTTTTAATATGTACAGATTAAATTTCGTATTGCTGACTTTATCAGAAAACAACAGCTGCATTGTCTGGTAATGAATTGCTTACTCCAAACGTAGTGCTCAACGGGCCATATTGACAAAAGTACATCTCAGAGTCAATTGCACTGTTATATAATATAATGGAAATGGGAAGATTTGGGGCCGGTCGCATAAACCGTTCAGACTAGTCAGTCACAAAGTAAGGCTGCCCCTTGACTCAACGCTAGTTGGACATACCAGTACTTAAAGGGATAGTTCATCCAAAAATGAAAATTCTGTCAGTAATTACTCGCCCTCATGTTGTTCCAACCCCGTAAGACTTTCGTTCATCTTCGGAACACAAATTAAGATATTTTTGATTAAATCTGAGAGCTGGATCACTCCTCCATAGGCTTCTTAAGGGATCGAAACTGGCCGGACCAAAAGTTATGAAAGACATCGTTAAAATAGTCAGAGTGACTACAGTGGCTCAATCTTAAGTTTATCAAGCGACGAGAATACTTTTTGTGCACTAAAAACAAACAAAAATAACGACTTTATTCAACTATTCATTTCCTTCTCTGTTGGCCTCGAGATTTCACGTAGTGGAACTGCGCAACGGTTCTGTGTTGGACGTCACACGTAGGCTCACTATTGGCCCACGCTGGTCATGTGTGTGATGCGTGTGACGTGGAACCTAGAAGCGTTGCGTAGTTTCACTACGTGAAATCTCGAGGCCAACAGAGAAGGAAATTAATAGTTGAATAAAGTCGTTATTTTTGTTTGTTTTTGCGCACAAAAAGTATTCTCGTCGCTTGATAAACTTAAGATTGAGCCACTGTAGTCACTTGGACTATTTTAACGATGTCTTTCATAACTTTTGGGCCGGCCAGTTTCGATCCCTTAAGAAGCCTATGGAGGAGTGATCCAGCTCTCAGATTTAATCAAAAATATCTTAATTTGTGTTGCGAAGATGAACGAAAGTCTTACGGGGTTGGAACAACATGAGGGAGAGTAATTACTGACAGAATTTTCATTTTTGGGTGAACTATCCCTTTAAGACACAGTCTGAACATAAGGGCTATGTTAATGCAACTGGCCCCTGATCCTGAAGCTGTGCACTTGGAGATGCTTTGTACATACTGGCCCTAAACTGCACCACTTTGCTTTATAGTCACAAATGTAACCCTTCTGAGGTCCCTCAAAGTTCAGCTGATGAATGTATGTCCTCTCTCTCTCTATACTGTTGTTGCTCTGAGACGTATAAGTGCACTGTAAACCCCTGGGCTTTACCCTCAGCTAGTTTAACCACTCCAACACGGCTTTCTCATCAAATTTTCCTGTTACTTTGCATATGCATATTAAATTATATTATCAACTGTATTTTTGATCTTTTTAGAGGGGAAAAATAAAGTTAATAGTTAAATCCACCAAGTATTTTTGGTTCTTTGTTATGGGTATATTAAACAAAATATAATAAATATTGTCCACACAATATTAATATCATAATGATTTATATTGCATGCAAAACTTTTCTGTTACTTAGTTCTTAAATAAGTTCATTTCATTCTGGAAAGCATTCATATTTTACATCAAAACCTTCTGCTAAATGAATACATGTAAATGTACTATGGTTCTGATAGATTAACAACACTTAAAAAGCATCTTAAAAAAATGTACCATGGTATTACTGAAAAACTATGACTATTTTTAGAAATCATATCACCTAAAGGATTATTAGGAACACCTGTTCAATTTCTCATTAATGCAATTATCTAATCAACCAATCACATGGCAGTTGCTTCAATGCATTTAGGGGTGTGGTCCTGGTCAAGACAATCTCCTGAACTCCAAACTGAATGTCAGAATGGGAAAGAAAGGTGATTTAAGCAATTTTGCTGATTTAACCACTCATCTCCTCCACTACAAATAGGAAAAAGAGGCTACAATTTGCAAGAGCTCACCAAAATTGGACAGTTGAAGACTGGAAAAATGTTGCCTGGTCTGATGAGTCTTGATATCTGTTGAGACATTCAGATGGTAGAGTCAGAATTTGGTGTAAACAGAATGAGAACATGGATCCATCATGCCTTGTTACCACTGTGCAGGCTGGTGGTGGTGGTGTAATGGTGTGGGGGATGTTTTCTTGGCACACTTTAGGCCCCTTAGTGCCAATTGGGCATCGTTTAAATGCCACGGCCTACCTGAGCATTGTTTCTGACCATGTCCATCCCTTTATGGCCACCATGTACCCATCCTCTGATGGCTACTTCCAGCAGGATAATGCACCATGTCACAAAACTCGAATCATTTCAAATTGGTTTCTTGAACATGACAATGAGTTCACTGTACTAAAATGGCCCCCACAGTCACCAGATCTCAACCCAATAGAGCATCTTTGGGATGTGGTGGAACGGGAGCTTCGTGCCTTGGATGTGCATCCCACAAATCTCCATCAACTGCAAGATGCTATCCTATCAATATGGGCCAACATTTCTAAAGAATGCTTTCAGCACCTTGTTGAATCAATGCCACGTAGAATTAAGGCAGTTCTGAAGGCGAAAGGGGGTCAAACACAGTATTAGTATGGTGTTCCTAATAATCCTTTAGGTGAGTGTATATAATATATATATATATATATATATATATATATATATATATATATATATATATATATATATATATATATATATATATATTATACGGTATATCCCTTAAAACAATGATAATTAATAAGTCAATAATTCATGACTCATGATTTTCACTTTTTACCATAAATTTAATACAGTAATTATATACAATATTAAAAATTAGATATCAGAAAATGACTGTAATACAATAATCTTATATTTAAAACATAAATATATCATTAAGAATTTGTAATATTATTTAATGTTCTATGTAGGCCTATGTGAATTATGTAATAATTTAATGTTTTGCAGTATGGTAATTATAATGAAGTATAAAGCAAATATTAAACACTTTAAGTGATGGTAAAATTAGGATATATGGTATCAATATTGTTTGATACAGTATATAGTACTTGCATTTATCACCCAATTTATAGCCAATTATTTTCAATCACTTATGCTTGCACTATATTCATAAGTCAATGAATAAAACCTCCTGCTAACTGGATATATTTAAATGTCTATAGTAAGTCTGACAAGCAACACTTCAAAAGTGCCATGGTAGGTCTACTCTGTCATAAGGTATATTTTAAAGTATACCATAAGATTACCATCTGATTCCACAACCATGCTACCACCACAATACTTTTTTTTAAAGTAAAGATTTAGTACCAAAAAGTATGTTTTAGGATATGGTATTCTACATGTACTATACTATGGGAGTTCCATGGTATTCTGGGAAGTACCTTGCAGTAGGCATACCATAAATACCATGGTACATGAATTTCAATCCCATGCATCACTGACTGTGCCATTGTATTGGCACAGTATTGTAGACTTATTCTAAACATTTTAGGTTTGCACGTCAAATAACTTTGACTGATGAATAGAATACATTGCACTTCAAAACCTACAATTCACTGACTTCCAACCATCTTAGTCACGCAAATTTCAGACATGAATGACAGACAGACCTGGCAAACTAGTGAAGAGTTTGAAAGCATCTCGTGCGCGTGACGTCACCGCCCACGTCAGCACCTTGCGGAAATACCGCTGCGAGAGGACAGGTCGATCGGAACCAGTACTCGAGATGTTTTCATACTCCAATAGAGAGTTTCAAATCTAAATTTACGCATCATTATCTACTCACGCCACTAGTTGAGTTAGTGCACTTGATCTCCCATCCGGTGCCGGTTCCGGTTAATAGGCGCAACGGGAAAAAGAGGGACAAAATGTCCCTGTTCCAATCAGCCCTCGATTTCCTGGCCGGGCCCGGCGGATCCGTCGGCGCCGCAAGCCGGGATCAGAACGACTTCGTCGGGCAGGTGGTGGAGCTCGGAGAGCTCAAGCTCCGGATCAAACGAGTCATTGCGGAAGGTAAAAGAATCAATCAAAATAGCATTAGGCTAGTCATGCTAACCTGGGTTTATGTTACTAACATGTATTTTATTTAAAACAGCTGTGAATTTGACTGTATAATGTACATAATGTATTATTATTCACACATATAAACATTGACCTTAGTGTATATGTGTTTATTTGGGAATTTAGCGTAATGAAAATTGACTTAAACTCGCTGGCTAAGTTGTTAGCAAGTCACTTGTGATGCACCTGACATGAACCCATATATTTCATATGCTAGTAACGTTAAGTCTGTGTGCTCTTGAGGCATTCAGACATAACGTTATGCTTACACTCTTTCATTGCACATCTATATAATTTGCCACGCCAACAATAGATCATATTTATGTTCTATATGTTGATCTGTAACGTTATATTTTAACTTCTCTTATATATATATATATATATATGTGTGTGTGTGTGTGTGTGTGCAGACTGCACCATGGGTATTTCATGCTACTCCGTGGTGATTCAAAGAGTACTTTGATATATGTTCACTCATAATAACGTGATGATTCAAAGAGTGCTTTGATACATGTTCATAATAACATGACCTGACCGTGGTATGTTTTGTTAGTGGTCTCTCATCCCTTTAAAAAAGTACTATGATAGCACCATGGTATCACTATTTAGTGCTGTGACGCATTGAAATTTACAATGGTACTGAATTTCACAAATTTACATCATATTCAAAGTACTATGGTACCTTTTCCAATAAAGTCTCATGTGTGTCAGATGACACATTTTATAAGAATGCTGTTCTCTTCCGTATCTGTTTGAAAGACACATACATGCAAAATAATGTCAAAATGCCCACCTTTGCAAATGTGTTTGTAATGTCATAAACACAGTCACTTATGGCTTACGTGAAAATGAACAATTGAGGGAAAAAATGGATGCATATCATTATATTTGGTCTTAAAGTGACAGCAGCTCAATATTCCTGCTGCTATTCCATTAATGTTAATCATCTTAAAAATCAAACAACAAAATACAAAGAGAAAATCACTTTTGTAGCTTTAACAAATATTCATTATATTTATGCAGTGAATTTATACAGTTTACATTTGATTATACAATTTCTGTACCTGAATACTTTAAGAGTTACCTCAAAAACATAAAGCACTGTTTATTTAATTTGTTTTATTGTGTTGTGTTTATCTATTTTATTTGTATTTATGATTAATTCTTTCCAAATAGAGCTGTTCAAGTCATCTGGTGAAATTACAGGAAATATTGCAGGAAAACAAGAAATTGCAATGTCAGTTGTTTTGTTTCCAATATCGTGCAGCCCTAACGTATATAAGCTTTTCATAATGTCAGTCTATATTGTGTAAGAACTGTATAAAAGTATACAATATCGTTCAAAGGTTTGGGACTGGATCCATTTGTATGTTTCTGATAGAAGTCTCTTATGCTCACCAAGGCTGCATTTATTTGATAAAATACAGTAAAGCAGGAATATTGTAAAATATCATTACAATATTCTATATTATATTTGAATGTTTTAAAATGTAATTTATTCCTGCGATCAAAATGAAATTTCAGCGTCATTACTCCAGTCTTCAGTGTCACATGATCCTTCAGAAATCAGTCTAAATAGAAACCGTTATGCATTTTTTCTGAATTCTTTGATGAATAGGAGGTCTGTTTTGACAAGGAAATCTTTGTAAGAGGACAAATGTCTCGGCTGTCACGTTTAATCAAATTAATGTGCCCTTGCTGAATAAAAGTATTAATATTTTTGTTGTAAAAAGTGCACATTGTTGTACTACATTATTTGATATATGTTCATATTTTGACATTATATTCATATAGCCATGTTCATATATTGATTGTTGTGTATTTTGCTCAGACCATTTGAAATCTGTTGGATTATGGCAGTGAGATCAGTGTATGTCCATAAACCCTCACAGGTGTGTTGATATCTACAGGCCTTTAATGGAAACAGAGGGCATTCTGGGTAAACAGGAATGATTTACATGGTGGTGGTGAGGCGTAGTGGTTCGAGGTCCAGGCTGGTAAACTGAAAGTTGGACTGTGTAATGACTCCACTACTTGTTGCTTTGGATGAAAGCATCATTTTTAATGACAAAGTATCCGACTCAGTATTGTTTGCACAGTTGCACCACGTTCGTTGTATCGCATGACATTTCTGGACTGTAAATGTTGGCGGGAATTTGTTTCCAGAAAAGGCTTTCTTTTAAAAACGAAATGTTTGGGCTCACTATACTTCATATTTACCTGAGGTGTCTTTGCTCTACATCTGTTAGTGTGTTTTGCACCGTTCTTTTGCAAATGCGTGGTGCGTGTGAATGTCAGGGCACTGTAAGGTGAAACTCGAAAGCTTCTTTTGATTCGTGCAGCCTGACTCAGGCCTCCGCTGGTATTCATTTACCCGTTGCCATGGTTACAGGTCGTTTTGGTCACTTGAGGATTGTTTCACAAGTGTTCATAAATACCTGTCATTGTCACTTTTGTTCATGTAAAGACACACACCTCTGTGCGTTGTTGACCTGAAACAGTCAGTCAACATCTGACATACTTTTAATGTTTTATTATTGTTCATTTTAATAATCAGTCAGGTACATTCTCATATTTCTATAATTGTTTTTGGAGTGGAACAACAGAATTCTTGTAAGATGTGAAAAGGACATTTTTTTTTTTTTTTTTATGTCTTCATGCATAAATTAATTGAAAGCCCTTTTTACTTTCTTAATACATGTTCCTGGTCATTAATGCATGCATATTTATATCCACCTTTATATCCCCACCAGGGACTCAGCTAAACACCTTTGACCTAAAATATTTACTTGAAGTACCCTCTGAATTGATTATCTAATATTTAATTAATTTAAAGACACATTTCGATGTGTCTTTATTCTTGGTTCTCTGATGTCAGTTAATGTTTGCATTATAATGCAGGGAAATAAATACGATACTCTATATTTTTTTCAGTAAGTTTCGTTTTAATTATTTTTGTGGTCACTCTTTAGTTTGGGAACACATTCACTATTAACTAGGGCTGGACGATTTTGGCTAAAATCATAATCGCGATTAATCGAACAAGTTACCTCGATTACGATTATTTAAAAAAAAATCTTTCTCATGTCACTGGCAAGGCTTATACTGTAAATATGTTCTCGGTTATTTTTTTTAATGAAAGAATGCATAATCCTATCTTTGTGATTCTAAAATAAGGAGAAACACAGATAGCTTTTAATGCTTATTTATTAAATATTTCAAACAATTGAATCAAACAAAGCATACAATGCTTGAAATAAAAACGTCTTATAAAAAAGTAATTAAGTTTTAATGTAAAAAGAAAGTTTCCTAAAAATGTAGAAAATAGGTTTTTTTGTAAACAAAATAAATTATTGTAAATATTGCCATCTTAAAAGTAAAACTTGTATAAAAAAAAAAAAAAATCCTTTTCATATTGTGTAGCATTTGTAAATGCTTGTGTTATCGAAACCTGTTTTGTGGAGTGGAGGCACTTGTTGCTGGGCGTTTGTCAGTCTCTCTCTTTTTTCGCGTGTTTCTTTGGGACAAGCGGCTCCTGTTGCGGAGTTGACTCAGTGTTTGAGTTCCCTTTCACACAGATTCCGGAAAATACACGGATAAAGTGACCTGGGATTTGACCCGGGTTCGTTTGACTTAAGCCCCTTTCACACAGCGCTTTGAACCCGGCAAATTGCCAGAGTGCCTTCTGTGTGAACGCGACCCGGGATTGATGCCGGGATCGATGCCGGGTTGGGGACCTAGTAACATTGCCGTGTAAAGACCCGGAACGCGCGCTGTGTGAACAAAAGCCAGAACCAATGCCGTATAAAGGGTGTGTCATAGTGATGATTCACGAGCCTTTGCAATGACGTAGTTATCGTGCGACTCAGTTACTCTAGAAGAAAGTTTGTGTTCGTCATCGATACAAGAAAAATTTTGGAGAGATGTTGAAAACTATATAAGACTTTTACTGGACAAACTTTAACATTGAGGGGAAAAGATGTGTTTATTTACTTTGTAGATGGTGGAACAGATAAGGATTTTTCTTTTTTGTCCAATTGTTTTTAGTCTTAGGAAAATTCCATATTCATAAGAAGAAATGGGCAGAGTCCAAACTAAATTTTGAACACCTTTTAGCAGAGCTAAAACAATATCACACCACTGTAAGAGGTCTTAAAAATAGAAAGGCTATTAAGACCGATCTTGTACTCTCTAAATATGTTTAATTTGCATCCTTTTATGTAATTTGGTCTTGTTTTATTTTTTATTTTATTTATTTTATGGTTATTGTTTGTTTTGTATGTCTGTTTTAGTAGTGTATTTTGTGTATCAACCCTGGCATAAACAGATGTTGTTGTATTATATTGTTAATACTGAATAATAATAATAAAAAAAAGAGAAAAAAATAAAAACGATACAAGAAAGAACGAAAAAATGTCTGCAAACTGGACTGAAGTAGAGACCCGTCACATCCAACGTCACGCGTCTTTCCGGAACATACACGGGTTGTGTGTGAACGCGCTCTCTGATTCCGGCAAATCACTGGCAGTGTGAATGAAGCAAAATCAAACGAACCCGGGTCAAATCCCGGGTCATTTTATCCGTGTATTTTCCGGAATCTCTGTGTGAAAGGAGCTTTTGGTTCATTCACACTGCCAGTGATTTTCCGGAATCAGAGAGTGCGTTCACTAGGGGTGTAACGATACACAAAACTGACGGTTCGGTTTCCCCACGGTTTTGACGTCTCGGTTCGGTTCGGTTCGGTTTAGAAAGCTAAAATTGCTCTTTTTTTTTCTTCTTTTTTTAAACAGTGGTTTAACGAAAAAATTGTCTTTGTCTTTAAATTAATTCAATTACAATTAAACGTTTCACAAGGATTAAAAAAAAATCTTCTAAATCTGTAACCTATATAGGGAGCCGCACATTACTATAACATTAAAGGATGTAGCCTAGACTTTTAACCTAAATTCAGA